AATCACAGTGGCTGGCTGTTCGTATCTTCGCAGATCTTCGTGGTAGACTACGAGCTTCAATCCCAACCCCAACCAGGTATATTTGAGTGCCTGAGTGACATTCTGGAAGGATATGCTTATCAAATACCCACAGTACCCGCTTGCAGGCACGACATGGCTCGCAGTCACTCTTGCGAAGTCCCACCCACAACCCCTTAGCCGCAAACCCTTCGGCTCAAGCCGAAATCACGACTTCGGACCCAATGTTCCCCCATCTAGAACGACACAAGGACGAGAAACCTGCCTTGGCTGGCCTACACTCGACCCGAATCCCCCAAACCAATGGAACGCCTTAAGACCCGACCATCCGCACACGTAGTGCTTCTAATACAATGGCCACGCTACCAAACCACCATAGTCGTGGTGACAATTAACTAGCCTCGTACGGGCCACTGATACGGCATTCGCATCGAGTGTCTTGCCTGACTTTGACCATGATCACAGTAGCGAAACAGGTTTCGAAGCACCACCTGCACTCTCAGGTCCGCATTCGGCACTATGGCATATGCATATATGCACAACGACGGTCGCGAGTTGCGAAAAAGTAGACTAGACATACATGCCAATTGTCGATTTGTCGATCTCCCGAAATGTTTCGGGCTGCTGTGTTATCGGTTGGGGGGAACTTCGGGTATCGGCACGGTTCCTTATCCGATGTATAGCCGCTGTAAGGGGCAAGTGTGGTGAGTGTGTTTGATGTGTATACGATGACGTCGACGATCGTGGAAATGTTTGTTGTTCGCGATGGGGGTATTGCGTTAGTGGAGAAAGGTGGTTGGGTTGGGCTCGGTCTTGCGTGGGTTTAGATTGGGGTCATTCCCGAAGTGCTGGTAAGGCGTGAACAGGTTTTCCTTTTCCCACGTGGGTTGGGGAAATTTTACGTTGCATTTTCTCGTGTTGATCGGAGAACGAGCGGGACTTGCCGGTGCAATGCTTGATGTTGCTTCTTTGTATAAGTTATGAACACTGGGAGGATCAGCACAATATATGTGTAACGACGACGTACTTGCCATCGAAAGTACCAGCGATCGATGTAGAATGACATCGAATCGTTCTTGTACAATCGACGATGACCTGACTTGCACGCGATACTAAGAATACAGCGTAGGCCATTAGCGTATGGAGGGAGTGGAGGACGTAGACAGCGACTCATCAGACCGAAAGAGGAGGTGGCACTGTTACATGCGTGATATCTACAGGACACACCTGAACTACCTCTATATGTGGTCTACTTATCGATCGACAAAGATACACGACTGTATACCCCGTAGGCTACTCCGTAGAACACAGTGAGCAATATATACTCTTGAAATGCTCCAAACTCCTCGCTATGCAATGAACATGTTCCTTCATGTCGATGACCTGCATATAATGGGTATTTCTCGTGCAACCGTATCGTAGTTATGATATTAGGATGGCGGATTTAGAGGTTCCTCTTGGGCCTCATGTCCACGATTTCCAGGGGCGCGTCGGTCAGCTCGACCACATGACCCGGCTTGAGCGCTTCGGTGTAGATGTTATCGACGTCGTGAGGATGGAATATACCAGGTCGACTGCAGTTCAGAATGGCTTGTTTGCCAGGGGGATCAGTAAGGCGGAAACAACCCCAGCTATATCACTGTCAGTGTCTTGAACGAAACTAAGGGGAAGTTGGATGACATACCTAGGTTGTTTTGTCGGAGCGCAAACGATGGCGATGCTTTCTGGCATCATGACCTGATATCCGACATGGGTGTGCAAGTCTCTGCTGCTCATAAAGCAAGTCTGCGTCGGATGAGTGTGAATCCAACCGAGAACCATCAACTCTTCCTTGTCGCAGTAATCGAATAGCTCTTCTTCATTCAACGTCTCGCAGGTGTCGCTCGTGCTAGTTTGTTCGGGGATGATGAGTCGTGTGATGAAGAGGGCATTGGATTTTAGTATTCCACCCAGCATACCGCATGTTTCAAGATTGAGACGTGTGTTGGAGGAAGCAACGGCAAGGAATTGATTGCGTAGTTGGGAGGGGAGGAATACGGGACGGAGGGGATCGCCATTTTCCAGGAAGGCAGAAGGCTTGAATGTGAATTCGTCAAGCTCGGTGGAGGGTGTCAACGGTCTCTGGTCCGGTATCTTGCTTGGCAAAGGTGGCGCGCTTTCTGAGATCTTGCCGGGGACCGGAGGAGGTCGTGAATGATCGTATCGCGCATCGTACGTAGAAGCTGGAGACTTGGGCGGCAACGGCGGTGGCGCTGTCGGTGTGCCAGAGGCCCTGTATATCTGCTCTTTCGGAGGTCGCGCAGGCGCCGTGTCGCGTGACTGGGAGTCTGACCATCTTTCTTGGGCAGTCTTGTAGGGTACGGTAGGGTAGTGGTATGGGGACGCGGATTGAGACGTGGGCCGCTGGACTTGTCAGTAAAGAAGCCACACGGTTGTCGCATGAAGCTTACCGAAGAGTAAGATGTTCTATGGCCATTTTGCTGAAGCCTCGCAACTTCTTGCAGTTGGTTTGAGATGTCGTCTCCGTCGGGCCCTTGCTGCCAGCTGTCCCAGGTGCCTCCACTGCGGCGCGCATGCTCTTCCTCCTCTGAGATGCCATGCTGTCGCACGCCTCTTCTGACAGTATCTCTCCTCCGCACTTCTCTCTGCGCCAGTCTCGCGGCAAGCGACTGGTTTTCCAGAGAGCGCGCATCGATCGTGGGCCGCGAATCGAACGACCTTCTCTTGGGCCCCCGATCTTGAATCGCCAACCCGTCCAGCTCCTGCGGAAGAGCACCCAAGCCCTGCCCTTCCAACGACCGCAGGCTTTCCTTCTGTCTCCGTCTCCTCTCTTCGTATTCTTCGTGCCTCTTCTTGATGCGCGGCGCGATTTCCTCGAGCTTCTTCAGGTCGCGACTGACGGCTGCTGTTGCAGCATTGAGCGCTTTTCGGTTCTCGGGCTTGTTCCTGTCAGGGTGGCCCTGTAGTTTCTGGAGGACGAGGTCGGCGTGTCGGTATAGGAGGAGGTATGTCTGCGCGTCGTTGCCCTCTGCTTCATAAACTTGGGCCTGGTGGGAGTGAGCATGCGCATCTCAGCCATGGCAAGTGAACACACCTCTTTCTGCATGGTACTGGCTGTGCGCAGCCAATTCGCCAAGGGAATGTGCGCATTGTACGTGTAGTTTCCGGCCTGTTCCGTCACCTCGGGCAGGCTCACGGGGGTGTTGATGGTCGCCATTGCGGAGGATGCGTGTTGCGGAGCGGCGGGGCGTACGAGGTATGCCCAGGTATTCGCGAATGACGGCCTCAAGGCAACAACTTTGCGACAAACAGGACCGCTACCGGTGCGGGTGGAGGTGACGCGTTCTCATCAGTGACATGGGGAAACGGTGTGCGGCGCTGCCTGAAGAGAATCAAATCTGGGGCACTGTGATGGGGGATGGGTGATGCTGGATACATGGCGGGGCAGTCAGGGCCCTGCTGCGGCGCGTGGCAAGCACGATCAGCTCGACGTGACGAGATTGGGCATCAGGACACATGCATCGCGAACAAGACGGGCACAAAGGCAGATGGTGATGCAAGAGAGATTATGGTGGACTAGCGACGGCACTTGAATAGCAGCCATGTCGGATATGCAGGGCAACAGAGGCGGCCGCGCGTGTTCACGTGTAATGACATCGGTGTACAGGTCCACAGAATCTAATCGCGTCTAGTATCCAAACATACGAATAGTATCTAGCAAGATGCCCTTATCTTCACTTGTCCTCTGAGTCCTCCGATAGCTTGTCCCATTCGCTGTCGGTAGATAGATCACCTGTTGATTCACCCATGCCCTTCCTTCTCTTCAGCGCTTCGTCTACCGGTGCTGCAAGACTCGTCGCCGCCCCCGTAGTACTCGCAGTAGTAGGACCTCCACTACTGACAGAAGCAGCAGCCTGTGTTGGGTTCTCTGTCTCACCTCCACCCGGTCTCTCCACAAACACGGTGCTCTGTGTCTCGGGGCGGGGCGCACGAGGCTGGCTCGACTTGGGCTTGATAGTTTGCGTTTGCTCGACCTCGGTATCCACCTCCGTATCGTCGCCTGTGTCCATGCCGTCTCCGTCGTCGCCTGCACCTCCCTTCTCTTTTCCGCCCCTTCTAGCTTCTCGGATACGCTTTGCTTCCTCCTCCTTGGCTTGCGCAGCCTTGAGCTCCGTCGCAAACCAGTTTATCGACCACCAGAGACCTCCACACAGAAGTGAGAGGATGACGAAGTGTATGCTGTACGTCGCGATGAGCATGACGAACAGAAGAACCTGGAGCGCAGCGAACGAGGCGTTTGTTGCGATAAGGAGCGTCGGCGTCGGCCCCGCGATGAAGATGGACTCCCATAGCTGTTCGAAGAAGGCTGCCATACTGTGCAGTTGTTTTTCCGCTCGTCGATTAGGTGTTAGGCGTGCGTTCGTCGGTGCTTGCAGATATCGTCGTTCGTATTCGAAGTACTTGTACGGCCCCACGATACGGCTGCCTAGCCGAGTGGACAGGTGCGGCGTTGGGCGATGCGACTTGCAAGCTGTGTAGTGAATTGATGTGCGAAAGCGATTTGGCCGTGTACCAACGCCAGAGTGGACTGACGGAGCGGCGTGCTGAAGTCGGGAGAGATGCTCGAGTGCTGTTTGATGCCCAGGTGTGTCGCGGGGCTGGCTTCGGCAGAGCTGTCCAAGCTAACCCCCGGTCATTACCCTACCGCGTCACGCGTCGTGACCACTATATTACTCCGCCGCTCCATAAGCCTTTAGACGCGGCAAACGTGCCTCGTGATCAGAATCACATGCATCATACCTGCTACCGTCCAAGCATCATCGAGTCTTCTCACCACGATCTGCGTCCATACGGCTTCGCCAGCCTCATCACTATGCTTCAATAGGCAATTGCCTTACTTATCGTCATTGTACGGATAGCTCAACATCCCCTTGTCCGGCTCCCCATACATGCGCTTTTGCAGTAGAAGCTTAACAAGGCAGTCACTCGACCTCCGCGCGTTGTGCACTACCAATCTTCTGTGCTTCTTCAACTTTCTTGACGTTCTTGTGCTCGAACCCAAAGGACGCAACCAAGGCAAGCCCACTCGTCACCAGCAAGAAGAGGAAAACGTCCCGAATGGCATTTTGATACGCCAACTTGTTCGCTCCGTTGCCGTTTAGTCCTTCCACCGGCGAATTCGGAAGGCTGGACTTGATGTCTACTGTCAAGCGACCCAAGAATATGGTTTGCGATATACAGAGGCTTACTGCACCGCCGAGTTGGAAGGCAAATTGTAATAATGCTGAAGAGAAAGTCAGATTCCAGATAACAGGAGGCAAAATAGCCTTACCATTCCCGGTAACCATGTCTTCCTCCTTCAAGACAGCCGATTCAGCTGTGTACGGCAGATTGATCGCGCAACCAGTACCAACACCACATATGATGAAGTATGCCGCCCACACACCATGGTAAGTGCTGACGTTGAGTAACGTAATGAGCCCGGATCCGACCTTCATTCGAATGGTCAGTTGATCCTGGCGATAAAGTTTCCAAATGGAACTTACTACGCTCAGGCCAGTCCCAAGGATGATGAATGGCGTCTATCGAAACTCAGTCCAGAACAGCGAGATCGTTCTGCAAGAACTCACGTAATAACCTGATCTCGAAACTAGGGCCCCAGCCACTACTACAGTCAAAATCTGCGTCAACGTCAAGAACAGAATCTCTACACCACTCCTTTGCGCGCTGAATCCCTTTACTGTTTGAAAGAACATGGGTATGTATACTCCGTACTATTTTCATGTCAGTCTTATCGGGAAGATGAGTGCGGGAGCAATTACATACCGAGAAATTTGGCATCGCGAAGAAGAATAGATACACGACTCCGAAAGTGATGGACCGTTGTTTGAGGACTCCAAAAGGTACAGATGCATCTGCCCCCATCTTCCACTCCACCAAGAGGAACAGCACAAGCAAGATGCCGGAGACAGCGAAAAGGCCGATGATGATGGGAGAGCTCCAAGGAAGACCGTGGCCGCCCCATTGCATTGTCAAGAAGAGACAACACATGGACGCGATCAGCAAGAGACTCCCTCCCAGATCAAGTTTGAAGAAAAAGCGTCCAACATCATGCCCGCTGCTGGAGGTCTTCACTTTCTCAGCTCGGTTTTCTCTATCAAGCCTCAAAAACATCGCAACAAGTCCTAAAACCACGGCACCCAAGGGCAAATTGCTTGTAACTCGTAAGCACAAAATCAGCGATCCGGAGCAAACTCACATCCAGAAACACCACCGCCATAGTCCTCGATCGGCCAACAAACCTCCCACCACTGGCCCGACCCCAATACTAACCCCAAACGCACTGACAAACAGCCCGAAGAAGAAGGGTCGCTGGGATAAAGGAACAGTCTTCGTCACCACGGCAAAAGAACCTTGCATCAATCCCGCTGCTCCACATCCCGCCACCGCTCTCCCTAAAATGAAGACTGCAGAGGAAGGTGCGACCGCGCAGAGTACACTACCGACTAACGGTTACATCAGCTTATCGTTTTGTACACCCTACACTCATATTAGACCAAGAAAGCATCCGACGTACCTTCGAAAACCCCCACAGAGACAAGATACAACATCTTGACATCCCCCACTTTATACAGTTTCCCCAATGTGGGCTGCAGCGCTGTGAGCGCGAGAAGATACGCACTTCCATACCATGCGAGATGGTCGAGGACGTGGAAGGTTTTGGTTATGGTCAGCAGGATGGGGTTGAGGATTATGGTGTCGAGGGCTACGAGGAAGGTGCCGAGATAGAGGGAGGTTACAATGAGGATGAGATGGGGTTTCGGTGTGGATTTTGATGTGACAGAAGGAGTGGGGCGAGGAGTAGTGGTAAGCTCGATGGATGGGGACATGGTAGGATGTGGTTGGCGTGTTGGAGGGGTTGAGTATGTTGGAAACGATGAAGTTGTTGACTTGAAGATGGGAGATGTTGAGGCTTCCGGCTTCTTGAACAAAAATTGTCTTTTCAGGCTTTCTCGCACGAATGTAACTACGACGGGGTCCACATGGCTGGCATCGGCCTGTCTGTCACAAAACAGCAACATCTTCAGCAGTTTCGAAACGAGTATGGTACTTGTAATACACGGAAGAGGGACGGAAATATGAGAGGGTGTCGCAACTGAACAGCTGAGCAAGTAGCGCAGGTACCCGTAAGCCGCAATCCATGAAGCCGCCTGTACAACCCGAGCTTAACGACACTGAAAAGTTCCGGTCAACTGATTTTCACATACGCATGACAAGCTTCTGGTATGATTTCCGAACGGTACGGAAGGGTGGGTAGATAGACAAGGTGTTATTTCGCTGTTACTCGCTACATCCGCAATGGTACCCACGATCGACCCGCCTCCCTATCCACAGCCCCATCATGTTTCAAGAACCGTCCCCGAGCGATCTTCCTACCAGTTTCCACCACAAAACGCTCTCAGTCCCGTCCTCCAGAACGACTTCGCAGGAGCTTTGGCGATAGCGCGAGTGAATTTCCGAATCTAGTAAATGTAGGGCTTGCCACACTGCTTGCGTCTCTGGGCGTTCCATGAGCTGACATTGGAGAATTTCCCGTCGGCGTTGCACTGTCCAGCAGTCGTGCTGTCCTTGGACGCCCTCAAGCACATTCTCGGGCAATCATCGACAAGGTTGTCCTGAAAAACATCACGATGGTGAGCAAGTCAATCTTGAGTGTGAAGTGATACATGACGACTTACGATAACGCAGCAATGGCTGCCGTCTGGGTAAAGGCACTGGCAGTACGAAGCCACAACGCTGCTTACGCTGGCAAGGAGCACGGTAACGATAGTAAGACGCATGTTGGGCGTTGATGACGAGGATGCAGTTGGGTTGAGTTGAAGTGATGAGTGATGTGATGGTGCGGAGGAGTGGAAGAGAAACCACGATCTTTATAGAGTCCAGCAGACTAAAAGACCACATAACACGAGTCATAATCACATTTCGGCGGATTTACGAAGCACCCCACGGGGGGACGTGCATAGGTCACATTGGATCCGTTGAAGTAATCTCACGGAGACTACCAAGTACGCTTGTTTTCGTTTGGAAAGGTTCATGATCGTATCAATAATACACGGTGAGGAGGCACACCGTCATATCAATTATTACACGCGGCGATTACCGTATTCACAGAAAAGGGTTTAGATTGAATGGGAGCTTCCCAGCGATCGAGGTCCTAGGATCTCGAGAACTGAGGAAACTCAAGAGAAGGTACATTGATTGCCATAACACAAAGAGACGATTGCTTAAGAACTGCGCAAGGGCATCCTGACGAGCTCCTCCTCTACTTCGCGTTTCCAATGGTCCAATCCGTGCAGGAGCGGCGCCACGAAGCGTTCCATGAGCTAACGTCCGAGTACTTGCCACCAGCGTTGCACTTGTTGTCCGAGTTTCCGTTGTCGATGCATCGGGCCACGCAGTCCTTCCTGATGCCGTATTGCTAGTACATCGTTAGATTCGGTCGCTTGAATTTCCTGTTTGATTCGACTCGGGCTATCATTGGCTTACAGTAACGCAGCAGTGGGAGCCATCCGCGTAGAGGCATTGGCACCATCCATCAGCGGCGACGGAAGTGATGGCGGCGAAGATAACCGCGGCGATGGAGAGTCGGACCATTTTGTCGTGGATCGAGGTGAATGAGTAGTTGAGTGTGATGAAGAGGTGTGTAAAACTTGTGGGTAATGAAGATGCTGTGTCGGTATGCTAGGTATCGAGAAGATCACTGTTGCTTTATATAGACGGCAAGATCATGTTCGTCTATCACAACAGAGACGACCCGGAGACGACCCACCAACCACACCTGGGTACCTTCCCGCCAAGGCCTGCATTTCATAAGACCCATGCGCAAGGGGATGGTCTCGAATGGGAAGTATCTCAACTCCAAGGGCCTCGTCTATCACAATGAAACATTGTGGTCAGCTGAGTAGAAAAAAAGTCGTCGCGCCGATTCCATTGTGATGTTGAGGTCAGTGGAACGATACCTAGATACCTAGGTAGGGCCGAATGGTCCTTAGGTTCGGAGGTCAGTGCGGAAGTCGGAGAGCACCTGCAGACGGGATCTAAACGATGTTTAGATACCTAGATAGAACGACATCTACGACACACACTCCTTACATACACAGCAATGCAATTAATCGCATCAAGCACCTGTACAAATAGAAAAAACTACAGTCTCACCACCACACTATCACGATGACGCGCAAAAGATCTACACGGGCTTGAACAGCCGCAACGATCTTACATAACACGTTCCCACGCCTGTCTCCCTACGTCACCCTTCAACGTACACCGATCAGCTCTAAACAGCGCATATAATATGACCGAACAGTTGACCGAATTTGGAAGAACCTGCCAAACGTGGTCTACTGTGCTTACAGGAAAGTGCCGACTGCCGAATTCGGACCGTCACGAGTCAGTACTACCAGACGTTTCTGGAGTTGTGGCAGAGCCTCACTCGAACCGCCTGTTGTGGAACCCGTTGACCATGAGCGCCTCGGACCCAAATTTCCACTCTACGGCCAAACTATGTACATTCGATAGTACGAAGGGGACTGTGTCAGCAGCCAACTAGTGGACTATCACCAAAACCGGCACGGGGGAAATACACGGCCAAAGATGCGCGCTGAATGTCCCGAAGCCAGTCGCTATCTGTGCAGACCGGGCCGGTATGCTCACTGTGGTATGTACTACCATGAAGTCTGCAGCCATGCCGCACTCTAGAAGATGGAAGCAAGATAATGAGTAGCACGAGGGGAGGATGAGAGGAAGTACACCAAAACTGCCATCAGACAGTTGCGAGTAAAGCGCTTGCAGCCACGAGATATAACCCAATGTCTAGTAACTTTGGAAAGTCTACTTTGGCCAAGTCGGAATGATATCCTCAGTTCCAGATGTGCATCCCCAGGAAACCCACCGGTTCACGGGTACTTCCGACGTCGCCACCGCTGGTCTCCAGGAGAGCAACCTTGATGAGGGCCAGATCTGCGGTGGTGTCTTCGTTGAGGACTCCAGCAGCGTGTAGATGGAGCACATGGCTAGTGAGCTCGTGATGTTGGAATTAACGACCGAAAATGAAGCGTGGTTTCTCCATTTGTTGTCGCCCCTGCGTTAGTACGTGATCCCTCAAACATGTAGGTGAGATTGTACCGTAGATACCGCTCCAAAATCGACCCCATCGATCCATTCAAGTCTTGGAAGTTGGGTTAGTGAGTTCGTGATCTTGGAAATATCCGCCGAGAAGGAAGCGTGGACCTGAGTGGTCTCTCGTATTAGTCATGACCCCTGCGTTGGTCTACGTTGGCTTGTTCCTCTCCCTTGCAATTCACACGCAATAGTTTCCTGCACATAATCCTTTTGCCGGTAGCCGCAGCATGTCACGATTGCTGACACGGAGATACCCCTAGAACACACCGACACTCGTGAATATCCGGTGGTCGAAAACGACCGTACGAGGCTGGGCTAACTTGAATGCACTATCTTGAGCGATATGAGAGCATCACTCGGCCAAATATCAGTGCCGACTCATTTGTCTGTAGATATAAGCAAGAGCTTAAGCAAGCTTAAATATCAGAGCACCACCCTCTCTGGACAGCACCAAGACACTCAATCTAAATCCACTCTACTCCACACTCTTCTACTACCTCTTCGAGACTTCTCACAACCGCCAAAATGGTCCGCATTCTCTCCCTCGCCACTATCATCATCGCCAGCGCCATCAGCGCTCAGGCCGCCCAGTTCTGCCAGTGCCTCTTCGGTGATGGCTCGCACTGCTGCGTCTACTCTGTGAGCAATCCTTCATGAGCGACACAAGATGAAATGCATCTTGGATGCTAATTTGAGATACTCTTTAGGACCCCAAGATTGGTGACCTCGACTGCCAGCGCTGGTGCACCAACGCCCACCGCGCCGATGGTGCCACCAACCCCAACAACCCTCTTGAAGTCGGCACCGCCTGCGCTGCTGGTGGAAAGTACAGCACTGTCAGTGGCTGGAACGCTCAGTTCCGTACCTCTTGCTACAAGCAGTAGATGGTCGTTAGCTCGATCTCGGGAGTCGGCAGGGGCTTTTGATGGGTGGATGGCTAATACGGGACTGTGGTGGACACGTGGTGAGAGCTATTTGTTGTAATGGGTTAAGCAAGACGTGCGATATGTAAACAGGCGACAATCACAATATTAAACCGGCCCACCAATTATCGTGCTCGCAAGAGTTGCTGTCGAACGTGCATATTGTGATGAGATATATTAAAGAAGCAGGGTGCACCCCCGCAAGACCTCGGGAACTAAGCCGTTACTAGCGTACCCGCGCCCCACTCTAACAGCCGAGTTATCCTCCTTTGTACAGAACTACCCGCCTATCTTCTTTGAAGAAGCTTCGCCGAGGTGCTTGGGATCGGCGGTGAGGCTCTTGAGGCTGGGGTATCGACTGCAATGAACGCGCTCCCCCAACCGTGCGATGAGATTGTCAGCTGTGGTGCCGCGCTGGATCATAGCAGCCTTCTGCAGATGTGTAGTAGCTGTCACGGTAGTCGAGACTTCCGAAGGAAGTCACGCATACTCAGCCAGTTTCATCTGGAATCCTATTCGACGCCTCTTTGTTCAGATATCGTCAGATTCTACTGATACACTTCTCGTATATGAGTACCTTGATGTCGTGGCCCAAATCAAGAGATAGTGCAAGGCACGCAGCAATTTGACATGCTCTAATCGTACAATAACCAGGTAGATGGTATGCTACCCAGCTACATGGCCTTGGGCCGATGACGAGTGTCTCCCGCAAGCGTCGGGACATCGTTTCAGGGGTGTCTGTGGCTGCGTAATATGGTGTCTGTAATGAGTCAGAATGGCGCCTCTCTGGAGGTATATGTATGACTAGATCAACGTGAAAGAAAATAAAGAAATAACGCTCTCGTAGTAACAGGAAAGTTGGTGTCCGATGAAGTTGCATCGAGTTGGCATGGCGGTGCCTGCTGATTCTGTGCATGAGAGGAAACGCGGGCAACATAAAGGCCATTTGTGGTAGCACTACCAACGCCCTTTTCGTGACTCAAGGAAAACAGCGAAAGCTTCCAAGATTGCTTCTCAATGAAGAGAAGAACTTCCGTGAATAAACGTCCTCATGAAAAACACCAGACAAATACACTGAGTTTCGATTTGAATTTGATCGCATTGCAGCACCACTTCCACCCGCCTTCGACCGACAGTTCTAACTGCATCCGACAAGAAGATGGAAATCAAGCTGGCGCCTAAGAGATACCAGCGTATCGCACAGGACCTTGAGAAGCTTCCATGCGAGCTTCACGGCGATATACTAGACGAACTGGAATACTCGCAACTAATTCGCCTTTCTTCTTGCGCCGGGCCACGTCTTACTTGGTCCCTCAAAAATAGCCGATCGCTCTGGGGTAAATACTTCCGCGGCGAAGACATGAGTAAATGGCAGACACTACTCTCCATTACAGACCGCGTAAAGTTCGCATGTTTCAAGAAACCGGAATCCAAGGAAGATCTACCAGACGTCTTCAAAGAGAAAGGCCGCCTTTACTTTCTGACCTATCGCAATTCAGACTGGAAGCATGAATTGGATAAGAACTGGACTCGTTTCAGACAGGAACGAGGGGAGCTGGGAACAAGGTGGCTCTCGGAGTTAAACGCGATCATCCTTACTGAGACTTGGACCACGTTCCACGAAGACTACTCCCGAATCGTCGTACCGATTCTCCCAAAATTGCCGGTGCAAGCTTCAGCAATCTTCTCTAGGATTCCCGAATTAGGTGAGAGGGATTACAAATACCAGCACCATGCAGACGGCGCTGTATTCTCCGCCGATAAACTAGCAGCTTTTGTCGACATGTATCAACAAGTCCGTCTAGTCAGAGCAGAAACGCTAGCAGCGGAGCTCTACCGACTGGCGGATATTTACGAGGCCCATCCCACCCGTCTAAAGCAGCCGTTTGATCCCCGAACCCAGGCTCCCGACGAGTTCAATGCGGAGCATATTCCCACTCAAATGCGGCGCGAGGCACAAAGGATGGTTAAACGGGCGAAGACCGCTCGCTGGAACAGCAAGGATGTGAAACCCTTCCGCTTCAAGTATCCTCCACTTGTGCCGTATGAGAGCCAGGTACAGTCATTTCATGATTGTCTTGAAGATGTTGCAAGAAACCACGGGGTAGACAAACACCAACTCGAACCGATGGAGATTTTGAAAAAGGGCGAAGCTGTTGTGGTGAACGCACCAGATTGGGCGCGGGAGGATGCAGAAGGAGAGGTGGATGGGGTTGCGGACCTATGCACGGTATTGGAGAATCAGCACATAAGCGAGCGTAGGCTCACTCCGAAACTCTGTATACGTGCCTCACGGTTTCAATCAGCAGGCTTGCCCGTCCTTCCGCGCGGCGACGCGGAGTTGGATTGGCTAGAAGATTTCGCAGAGGCGACGGCATGGTTGGAGGGAAGTTCTCGCCACGGTCTCGAAAACATTGGTTGACTTTGGATTTTAGATTGCTGTCCTCGGATATGCGCGAGTGGTCTACTTTTACAGTATATCAAGAGCAGTGAAAACATGGAATAGAAAGTGCTCGTATTCCACCGTCTTCTAGCGTCCTCCAACAACGGGTGGTGCGGACTTTAAATGGCCCTTGGCATACATGTCCACATATTCCTTTGCAGGCCAACCGCCCCAGTGTTCAACACTCTCGATCTGTGTCTTGATGAGAAGTGCTATGTCTTCTGGTGCACCGGATGTGTGATCGTTGCCTGGTTCGAATCCTCCTCCATCGACAGCTAGGCGCAACGCCACGAGTGTCTTGAACAGAAGGTGCCTGCCTGAGCGCTGAGCTTCTGCACGCGCCGTCACCTCAGCATGATGCTTGGTGAACCAGGTGGTGAATGAGTAAAGACCCTCATAATCCCGGAGAATACCTAGCCCTCGTACATAGGCATGTAGCTCCGCGGGCCCCGGAATGTGTGGCGAAATGACGTTGGCTGTCTGATCACCTGTAGGCGACTGCACATCTGCACTAGCACCGACTAGGCCGTTGAAGAGCGTACGAAGGCGAGAGGAGGCAGTGGAAAGAACATGTCGTGTATCGTCAAAAGAAGCGGAGCCTCGTTCGACGGCTTGAGCGGCGTACATAGTCGCAATACAGACCAGACGGAATATCTCATCGTCGACGTCAAGATCAATCTCTTCCATATCTTCAACAATGGAACAAATGAGCTTATACCGAGCAAGACTTAAAACATGCTTATGCCCTTTCTGAGACGCCAGCACCTTTATCATGCAAGCCCAGGCTGGTCGGTAGATCGGTCGATAGTATTTGAGAAGCATGTATGCGTATTCGACACAGTATTGCCGGTTCGACCTGAGCTGACGAACGTGCTGTTCTGGAGGTAGGAAATCAACTTTGTGAAAAGATGACTGATCGATGCTTCCAAAGCGACACAAGAAGTCAATGATCGCCTTGAAAAGGAAACCCGGGATCGATTTGCCTGAAGTGTACTGGTCGTGAATGCCGTCGAGCATTCGGCCTACCCTGCCGTGTTGAATGTCCCTAGCCATGTCTAGTAAACCTAGACCCGTGTCGAACTCTGGGCATGTCTCTAAGAGGAACGCAAGGAGGCGGCGTTTAGGTTTGACGTGTGCCATCTGCATTCGTCCAAGTAGCCCTCGGTAGCCAGGAACGGGTTCGCTAAGATATACATAGTGCAACGTAGATAGCGGGTCGGGGACTGCTTCCTTCATGTCTCCAGGTAACATATGAGTGGTGTCCTCTTCATGGGTGTTTTCTGCATCAGACGAGAACTCTGTGCGGGTCGATCGCTCTGCTTCAGCATGATACAACTTTTCGAACATTGCAAGATAGATATCTGGATGAGCAGGTTCTCCAGACAGCTCATGTGAGAGGAAGCATGCCCAGGCCTCCCTACGCGTGCGTGTCGTTCGTATACGCCCAGCCCAAAGCAGAGGGCGAAGGTGTTTAGCATCTCGATACTGGGAGGAGATGCGCGGTAAAGAGGTTCGAGTCTGTATCGTAGGACTAGAATCGGTGTCCCAGCCAGCGTACACTTGCGCCACATCTTCCCAGAGGCGACCACTGTACCCAGCTTCATACATACGGTGCAAGAGCTGGGAAGCTCGCGAGGCACCAAACTCGTAGCCTTTATCCTCATCCATTGCTGTGCGATTCTCCTTCCACGGTGGCCAGGTAGGCCCTTTGAGCTCAGCCCATTCTCTCTCTTGAAGCGTTTTCGCATGTGCCAGCTGATTGCGCGCAACGGACCGAAAACCGAGGCGTGTCACCGTTATTGCAGGCGACCTACTCGCCATATATTGAAGGATCTGGAATTGAGCCTTTTCTTGTTGGGCAGCGAAGACTACAGGGCGGGCAGACGTGGGTAGCGATAGTAGCAACAGGAATGTGTTGCAAAACTGCGTCAAGTCGGAAAGCATATCAAGGGATAGAGGATTGGATCCAGAAAAATCATCGCAGAGTCGGCTTGCTTCGGCAACGAAAAAGGACGCAGTCCATGGCATTGACTCGGGCCAGAGCTCGCGCCCATGGCGAAGTAAACGGGTCGTAATGATCTTGAGCTCCGACCAGCTTATCGATTCTGATTGCGCAATACGACCAACGTGCCTCATGACGATACCAAGAGCAGGTACTCTGATGTGCTTGCGACGTAGGAACAGTAGAAGCAGGAAAAGAGGTGGTATCTCGACCCCTTGTTCGAAGCATTTGACTGCTGCAGTCGATCGCGGTTCTGTGAGACAAGACGCCCATCGTTGAACACTTTCTACCGTGTAGCCTCGATTTTGTAGTATCTCCAGCTCCCGCGGTGTATATTGGAACGTCGACTCATCCGTTGCCATTTCTGTAAGATGTTGGAGATATCGGGCAAGAATCGAGTAAAGGGAGACAGGTTCAGGAAGCAGCTCGGTGCTAACTGAGGGTACAGGCTTCGGCTTGCGTCCTCGCAACGCAGAGCGGGGCGCAGTGTAGGATAAATCAGTCGCAGTGGGCGGCGAAACGAAGTAGAGGTTTCTAGCCGAGCGATCCATTGATTCCAGGACTGTCGCAGGTCTGCTGGGACGCTTGGCCTTCCTCGTGGCGCGGGACCATTGCGGTCGAAATCTACCATCCTCCTCTGCATCCTCGAGCGTGTCTAGGAACGGCGAAGAGGCGTCCGATGGAGCATCTGTACCTAGATCGCTGGAAAAGGCATCTATAGAACTCTCAAAGAAGGCGTTATCATTAGGGGTCGGTGCGGAGTAGTGCCTCGAAAGTCGATGAGGCACCTCATGGTGAGGAGAGGCTATACCGCGGAGGGGTTTGCGCGTCGCGGGGCGATGGGAGAGCAGGGACGCTGAAGGAATCTCGAGATGACATGTCGAAAGGAGTGATATGTCTCGCCATGGAAGATGGGTTATGGGGTTACAAGAATACTTGCAAAACATGTCAGCACAAAGTAAGCCTTGAACATGGCGTGCGGGCCTACCCAGTGCGGTAGGAGGCGCGTCACACGACGGCCGAAGCGGTACGGGCTACCTGGAGCTACCAGGGAGAGTACTAAGGGCATTCATCAGACGCAATAGACGTGGAGCGACGCGTGCGAAAACCAATTGCGGAGAGTTGTCGAGTGCAGTGAGAAAATCGTGGGTAGCTCATGCCCCATCGTCGCTAGCGCAGCATGCTACAGTCGCAAACCACCCGTGGACGACTTGGACATCGTCACCCAAAGGAGCGATAGGCGTGTGGAGAGCGAACACGCTTGAATTAGCAAACAGGAACTCAGGGGTCATTCAAAAGGAAAAGAATCACCATCGTCGTCAGCAGTTGCCAGGCAGTAATTGCTGCGGCACTCTGCGGCGTGGTCTTGGCGCTGCCCTTTGCGCGTTCCATTCATCGCTGCACTTACTTCCACCAAGCCAAGTCAACTTTGGACAGCCGCCAACCGCACGCCCAACCCCTAGGCACCATTTGCGCGTCACCGGAAGCCGTCTTGGACCCCGTCACGCGCCTCTCCAAATTTCAGCATCGCGCCTGCCGGTATCGCGGACAGGGCATGCTGTGAAGGAAGCCGCCGAAGCACGACTCCGGCCGCCCTGAGCGCGTTCCATCCCACGCCATCACTCGCGCATCGCCAACAGCACCCCAAAGTCACCATGGCCGCCGCCAACGGCACCCTCTCCCCGCCGTCGCTCCCCCAGGCGCCCAACTCGCCCGCTGCCGCCAAACGGAAACTCGCCGAGCGTCCTGCCATTGCCGTCAATGGCGCATCCACGCCTGCACCGGGAGAGAGCGCCAGTGCCAGCGCGCGCTCTCTGCAGGCAGTATTGGGAGACATACTGGCAGTTCTTAAGAGGTATGCCGCCTGCGAAGAATCCCCCGCCCCGCGCGTTATCGCCGTCATGCCAGCAGCCCATGCACGGAGTGCGCTGGCTGGGCTCGTCCACACCTCTGAGTCGCATGTTGACACTGAATAGCTACGACACCAAACCCTCCATCTTGTCGCATCCCATCACCTCGTCGATAACGCGATCCGCCTCTGGAGAAGCCGACTCGAAACGCACCAAGCTGACCCCACCCGACGGCCCTGCGACCATCAGTAACCTGATACAAGACGGCTCGTACGACTCTCTGCACGCACTAGAGAAGGATGTCGAGAGCGCTACCACTGAGATTCTGGCGTCTAGCGGCCCAAGTGATTCGTCGGCAGCCCAGGCGTCGCCCCAAGACACAGCGCTGCAGGGCAAAGTGCTCGCCTTCCAGACCGTCCTGAAAAACCTTGTGGCCAGAGAAGGGGCGCGCAAAGCGCCTGGTTCAGCAAAGCAAGTCAACGGCGATGCCGACGCTCCAGCCTCAGGAGAGGAGGGCACTCCGGTGCCGATCAAGGAGGAAGATCAAGACGCAGAGATACCCCAGAGCCGGACTGTTCTCACGCTGTACGGGAGCGCGCCGCCGAAACAGCTATTCTCCAGTCTGCAGCAGCCCCAGAAAATCCCCCCCGCCCATGGAATATCCACGCTCGACACCGCCGTCAAGGTGACTCTACCCTTGCGCGAGACGAACCTCCCCAACCTCATCTCGACGACAGAGGTATACCCCATCCCAGAATCAGATAGCAAAAAGAAGGTTGCGACTATTGGGGAGGTCTTCCGTGCACCTGCCCACTTGCCACAGATCAGTCCCCCCAAGTCTGCCCGACCGACAACGAGCAAAGGCAACAGCACCATCACCTTTGCGCACCAGGAAGCGCCCAAGCCTCGTCGCAAGGGCTCCCAGTCGCACGCGCATCAGAGCTTGTCTTCTGGCTTTTGGCTTGGGTATGCTGGCGTAGATATGCCGAAAGATCAGACCTCGCCAACAGCGAAGCAAAAGAGCAGACAGCGGGCGTTGAGCATGGGCGAAGCGCAGCAACCACCGTCCGAGGCAATTCTTGTTGCAGTCCAACAAGCCAAGGAAGATGCCTTGTTTCGCAGTGCTTACTCTAGCTTTGCGCCAACTCGGGATGACAGCTCCGCTATTATTCCAGAGGAGACTAAGAACATGGTCTGGTGGCAGAAGGTTGGTGAGAAGCGCTTCAACGAAATGTTCCCGATCGATCCGGCTCTACTCGACCCTGAGCAGGCTAAGCAAGCACTCACCAATGGGACCACCGATGAGGATGAACTATTCAAAGAGGCGGTAGAGAACTTCACCCCGGTTCAAGGAGACGTGTTACCTGGGATGGAGGAAAAGACCGAGGAGGAGAAGGATACAGATGAGGTGCTCAAGGAGATATCAGAACTTCTCGAGACATTGGCCTCGTACCAAAGGATACGGAATCTCTCCCTTACAACTAACCCACGCACTCCTGTTGTACAAAATGCTTCACTCGCAACCCTAGCCGGCAGCCCGTCTACACCCTCGTCGGAAGAGTTCGACGTCTATCAGATACTAAAGTCACAGCTCACATTGTTGATCTCGCAGCTTCCGCCGTATGCAGTCGCCAAACTCAATGGGGACCAAATGGACGAATTGAACATCAGTCGAACTATCCTATTCGACACCAAAGAGTACAAGGGCGTCTTGGAGGAGGATCAGCTCTCGAAACTTGCAAAGACACCCGGAATGGCTGCTGCAACGCCGGCTACCCTGGCGCGAACGAGTTCTGGAACCAACGCGCACTATCCCGCAGCTGGGCACCAGTACAGCCGTCCAGCGCCGTCAGTGCCTCAGTCCGGCGCTCGTCCAGTGTACTCGCAACCACAATCCCTCCACCGATCATCGTCGATGCACCTCCAACGCTCGCCTTCGGGTGCTGCGCAGACATTCCAACCAGGTGGCGCGTCTTATGCCACCAACTCTCGGCCGGGGTACTCTGCAACCCCGTCCTACAACCAACAAACGCCGCGACCAAGCTATGGAACCACTCCTTCTGGTCAATACTTCCCGCAACGCTCGGCACAGCCAAGCAGCTACACGGGTGCTCCTGGCTCACAGTACTATAATTCTACACCCGCACAGGGCCAGAACCGTTATGCATCACAGCAGAACCAAAGCAGCTTCTACCCTCGCTCACAAAATGCGGCACCTATGTACAACGGCGCACAAGCACCGCCGCCACGGAATGTGTCACCCATCAAGGGCGCGCCCACACCATCGGCTTATGGTACACGACCAGCATATGGTACGCCCGTGTCTGGAGGGCAGATGCGCAGCACATACTACGGTCCTTCCCAATACGCAACTCCTCAGGCGCCTGGTGCCGCTGCTCCCTACAATGGCGCAGGCAGCAATCCTCAGCAGATGATGCTTGAAAGACAGCAAGCGCAGCAAGCACAAGCCCGGCTTGCGGCACAAAATAGTTTCAGTAGTAGTAGGCAGGGATCAGGGACGCCGCAACCTCCCAACGGCTCCATGTATGGCGCTAATGGGGCCTCCATGTCGACCTAGAGTGTTTTGATGAGCGGACATGGATTTGCATGGTGTTCTGGATACCATAGATCAGCTTCTGGCGTTTCGGGCAGTAGCAACGAGCGGGAGGATTATCATTTCTGGACATGTTCTTGTTTAGCAGAAGCACTGTTGTCTTTGTAGACGACACATGTCACGTAGTTAATAGGGCCAGCGTGTCATAGTTGAGCGGGCTCTCTTTTCGAGCAAGTAACAGATTCATTAAAAAGGAGACCTG